CTGAGGAACTGTCACAGATAGAAAAGACCAGGACTAGAGCCGGGCACGGTGGCTCACACCTGGAATCCCAGCACTTTGGGGGGCTGAGGCGAGTGGATCACTTGAGGTCAGGAGTTTGAGACCAACCTGGCCAACATGGTGCAACCCTGTCTGTACTAAAAATACAAAAATCAGCCGGGTGTGGTGATACACGCCTGTAATCCCAGCTACTGGGGAGGCTGAGGCAGGAGAATCACTTGAATTCCGAAGGCGAAGTTTGCAGTGAGCCGAGATCGTGCCATTGCTCTCCAGCCTGGGCAATAGAGTGAGACTGCATCTCAAAAAAAGAAAATTAACTGGGGATGGTGTCAGGCACCTGTGGTCCCAGCCATTCGAGAGACTGAGGTGTGAGGATCACGTGAGCCTGGGAGCTGAGGCTGCAGTGAGTCATGTTTGTCCCACTGCACTCCGGTGCCAAACCCTGACACAGCCAAACCCTGTCTCAAAAAACAAACAGCGTTTCTCCCTGTTTCAACCACATGTCTACACAAGAACAGTTTCTTCACGGGTGAAATCCGAAACAACAAAATACAACAGACTGAAATGAAAACAGATCTGAGGAGAATCCAGGTGTCAGTTACTAAACCAGACACTAAAGAATTTCAGGCCAGGCATGGTGGCTTATACCTATAATCCCAGCACTTTGGGAGGCCAAGACAGGAGGATTGCTTGAGCTCAGAAGTTCGAGACCAGCCTGGGCAACATGGTGAAACTCAATCTCTATAAAAAATACAAAAATTAGCCAGGTATGGTGGTGGGTGCCTGTAATCCCAGGTATTTGGGAGGCTGAGGTAAGAGAATCGCTTGAACCCTGCAGGGTGGAGGATGCAGTGAGCCAAGATTGTGCCACTGCACTCCGGCCTGGGTGACAGAGCGAGACCCTGTCTCAAAAAAATAAAAGATTGTTAGAAGATGCAAGTCAATGCCACTCTCTTTACTCAATTTCTTCTTGTGCAAAATATAGTTTTTTCATGAAAAATACCACTTACATTAATACAGAAGGCATTTGTTGTTGTTAATTTTAAATGACAATAAATTTTTTTTTTTGAGATGGAGTCTCACTCTGTTGCCCAGGCTGGAGTGCAGTGGCGCGATCTCAGCTCACTGCAACCTCTGCCTCCTGGGTTCAAGTGATTCTCCTGCCTCAGCCTCTTGAGTAGCTGGGATTACAGGTGTGCACTACCATGCCCAGTTAATTTTTGTATTTTTAGTAGAGATGGGGTTTCACCATGTTGGCCAGGCTGGTCTCAAACTCCTGACCTTGTGATCTGCCCGCCTCAGCCTCCCAGAGTGCTGGGATTACAGGAGTGAGCCACCACGCCCAGCCGACAATAAAAGATTTTAAATGCCTCAGTTTTAATACCTAATATAGTAAATGTTAGTAAATATAGTACATATAGTAAAATATAGTAAATATTGCTATCTATAATGCACATAAACTAAAGCTTTTTGAGATTCTCCATAAATTTTAGCAGTGTAAAACAGTCCTGAGATTAAAAATGCATGGAAATTGCTGCTACATGCCAAGCTCAGTTCTGCCTACCCCACCTTTATTTTTTTGAGACAGGGTCTCACTCTGTCACCCAGGTTGGAGGGTAGTGGCATGATCTTGGCTCACTGCAACCTTTGCCTGCTGGGCTCAAGTGATCCTCCTGCCTCAGCCCCCAAATAGCTGGGACTATAGGCACGAGCCACCATGCCCAGCTAATTTTTATATTTTTTTGTAGAGATGGGATTTCGCTATGTTACCCAGGCTGGTCTTGAACTCCTGATGTCAAGCAATCCACCCACCTTGGCATCCCAAAGTGCTGGGATTATAGGCATGCATCACCACGCTCCGCCTCCTCCTTTTTTTTTTTTTTTTTTAGACGGGGTCTCTCCATTGCCCAGACTGGAGTATAGTGGCCAATCGTGGCTCACTGTAGCCTTGAACTCCTGGTCTCAAGCAATCCTCTTACCTCAGTCTCCCAAGTAGCTGGGACTACAGGTGCATGCCACCACACCTGGCTAAGATTTTTTCTTTTTTCCTAAGAGGCAGAGGTCTCACTGTGTTTCCTAGGCCGGTCTCAAACTCCCGGCCTCAAGTGATCCTCCTGCCTCAGCCTCCCAAACTGCTAGAACTACAGGTGTGAGCCACCACACACAGCCTCAGTTCTACCTGTTTACAGGTAGCAACTCATTATACCTCACCATGAGGTTGTACTGATATGTGTGTGTGTGTGTGTATATATATATTTTTTTTTTTTTTTTGTTTTTTTTTGAGACAGTCTCCCTCTGTCACCAGGCGCCAGACTGGAGTGCAGTGGCGCAATCTCAGCTCACTGCAACCTCCACCTCCCGAGTTCAAGCAATTCTCCTGCCTCAGCCTCCCAGATAGCTGGGACTACAGGCGCACGCCACCACGCCCAGCTAATTTTTTTGTATTTTTAGCAGAGATGGGGTTTCACCATGTTGGCCAGGATGGTCTCGATCTCTTGACCTCATGATCCGCCCGCCTCGGCCTCCCAACGTGCTGGGATTACAGGCTTGAGCCACCGCGCCTGGCCAAGGTTGTACTAATATTACCCCATTATCCAGATGAGGAGGCTGAGGCCAGAGAGGTTAAGCCACTTGCCCAAGATCACACAGCAGATACATAGCAAAGCTGGGATTCTAACCCACGTGGTCTGAGTGCTGAGGGTCCAGAGTCCAAGCTCTCACCCCCACAGTGCAAGGATCCTAATCAAAGATCAGGAGGCAGCCAGCCTTGGGGGGAAGAGGAGAGGAGGAATGGAGAAGGGACTAGGTAACCCAGCTCTGTCATCACTCATCTACTAGTTCCTTCCACAACTGGCTCTAATACCTACCACGAACAAATGAACGTGCCAGGTTCTGGAGACATGACAGGGATGCAATCAATGAACAAGAACAGCAGCAGCCCCCTTTGGAGAGGGGAGAGCCCTCACTGTGGGCTGAGCGCCGTGATCATTCCCGGCACTTCCAGATGTACCACCGCCCGTATGCCCCATTCACAGAGGCGGATGACCAAGGCTCAGAAGGAACGAGCCACCTGCCTAGGGGCCCACAGTGTGGGATTTCTGAGCCCTTCAGAAATCTCCCAGCAAGACCGCTGGACCTTGCTGGGAGAGGCGTAGAGAGGGGTCAGGGACACTTACCTGGGTAAGACAGATGGACTTGCTCTGGCGCAGCGCTGGAGGCCCTCGGGGACCCCTGGACTCCCAAGGAGCATAGCAGGAGCAGACAGCAGCAGGACCACCAGCCAGGAAGGGAGTGCATGGTGGTGGGGTGGTGACAGCAGACAGGAGAAAGCAGGGAGACTGAGGAGATCAGCTCCCCACAGACACAGCAGGAAGGGCAGGGAGGATGGGGAGCAGCAGCGCTCTAGGGGAGAGAGGCAGGAGGGCAGGGAGGTCTTCTTCAAGACGGGCAGTTATCCAACGCTAGAGAGAGAAACCCCAAATAAGAATCGCTAAGGAGCAGCAGCAGAGCTCTGAGCTTGCCTGCCAGTGTGCCAAGTGCTTGACATAGATTAACTCCCGGGAGCCTCACGACATTGCTATGAGGTGGTGGCTGTGAGCATTCATTATCCCCGTATCACAGATGAGGAAACTGAGCAACTGCGTGATTCAGATGCACAGCTAGCATGCACTGGAGCCAGAATTTGAACCCAGGAGGGCCTGATTCTGGAGCCTTGCTCCTAAGCAGAGCTCACTGTCAGTGCTGGGGGTCTGGGAGTGGGGTGGAGGCTGTGAAGGAGGTTGCATTAGGCAGCCCCACCCCCAGCTTTCCATCCTGCTGTTAGAAATCCCAGTTCTCCTACCTACTCCCCAGATTCCAAGCATTCCCACCTGCACCCCCCCGCCCCACCCCCACCCCCGCCGTCCCGGGACCTGGCCGCTCTACTCCATCCTTAGCCTTCCATTTTGCTCCTAGGGATCGCAATCCTCCCAAGCCACCCCCAGATCCCTTAGAGTCCATCCTGGCCAGAGAGGCCGCATCCTCTCTGCCCACCCCCAGCCACCCAGCTCCAGCCCTGTCTCCAGCTGCCAGGCTGGAGCCAGGTTGGGACCATCCGGGAGCGGGGGTGCCCTCCCGGACCCCGGCTCACCCTCGGGGGCGCGGGCTGCCCGCACGCGCATCTCCTGCCACCCGCGCCGCCGCAGTATTTATGAGTTCGCGGGTGCGGAGGCCGCCTGCCGCCTACAGCCGTCCCAGCCCCGGAAGAGCCGGTCGCCTCGGGGTGACGGACTCCCCAGACAGCCAGGGCCCCGGGTCCCACAGGTCCTGCCGGTCCCGGGCGCCCCACACCCACCCGCCTACCCCCCCCCAGGGCGTGGTGCGGGAAGGGGGACCCAGGAAGGCTTGGTACGCCGCCGCCGCCGCCACCTCCAAGCCGGTCACCAGATGAGCGCCCGGGCAGGTCAGCCTGCGCTCGCCCCCCAGGCGCCCACTCATCAGCTGGGGACCCTCCCAGGGCACGGACACCGGCCCCTACCTTGGCCCTGCCGGATCCCCACCCAGGTACCCAGATGTGCAGGTACCGGGGGATCCCCAGCCTTTTCAGCCTGCCTGCATCTTCCTCGCAATTCTTTCCGGCTACTACCTTCTCCATGCTGAGCCCACTGACTCCTCCTCGGAAGCCCGGGGCACCCTGAAAACAAAACCGGAACCCCGGAATTGCTGTGGGCTTTCTGAGCTGTGCGACCTGGGTGAGTTACTCAACCTTGCAGGACCTCGGGTGTTTTCACCTGTAAAAAGGAGGTGATGATCGTCTATACCCCATGGGCTGCTGTGAGGAGTAAACCAGTTGATGTCTGAAACTTCATGCTGATAACAGGGCTCGGCCCAGAGCAAGGGCTGGATAAGAATCAGCTGTTCTTTTTGTCTTTATTAAGGCATGAACTCCAGAAGCTGACGTCTAGGGAGTAAGTTCGGTTTCTTCCCTGTAAACCTTTGCAAGATGTTTGAATGCGGGGAGGGCTTGCCACAAAAGAAGCATCAGGAAAAGTCTGGGGGGTCCGGATTTCCAGTTTCCCCATCGTATCCTGATTGCAGATAGAATGACCCGCCACCACGTGGCTTTGTAAATTCAGAGTATATAGACTTCTACTGGTTGGGGACACTAATTTCAGAAGTTGGCACTAGGTGTGTGGGAAATTCAAAACGAGCCTTTTGCACTGTTTTTTTTTTCTTCCCACTTCCAGAGTCTCCATTACAGCCTAAAATATAAAAAAAGCAGCTCTATTAGCCAAACTTGAGTACCCGCCACTCCTGTGGCTACCAGTGACAACCTCCCCTTACTTAGTTCTTCAGAATGGGAGGTTCCTAACCTTTTACGTGATGAAGGTGCCTCTGGCAAGCTGGTTAAGCCCTTCTCAGGATCATGTTGATAATGCATAAAATAAATGTACAAAATTACAAAGGAAGCCAGTGCTATTGAGAGAGAGAGAGAGAGAGTGAGAGTGTGTGTGTGTGTGTGTGTGTGTGTGTGTGTGCGCGTGTGTGTGTGTTTTGAGACAGAGTCTCGCTCTGTTGCCCAGGCTGGAGTGCTCTGCAACCTCTGCCTCCCAGATTCAAGTGATTTTTGAGCCTCAGCCTCCCGAGTAGCTGGGACTGCAGGCATGAACCACCGTGCCTGGCTGAAAACTGAGTTTTTAAAAAAAACACAAATATACATGCATATATTTCTGTTAGCCATCAGAGTGATGACATTATCACGGATCAGGTAGTCTCTGGAGAATGAAAAGGACAAACATCTTAGTGTAATTATAAAAATAGTTTTGACCTCATTAACCCCCCTGAAAAAGGTCTTGGAGATCCATAGGTGTCCCCAGACCACATTTTGAGAACTGCTAGATTAAAGCGTAGTAAAAGGAGAGGTAAAAACACATTTCCCCTGTCCAAGTTCATGTAGCTCCTGAATTCCCAACCACCAGCCCAGGTGAAAAAGGCCCACTGGAATTCCATCTGGTTGGGCCCTGACAGGCGGGTGAGGGCAGATAGCTCAGGTGTAAGCTTGTGGTGGGAAACAGCATCGACTCTGGGGCTAGATAGCCTGTGCATAAATCTCTCTCCAGCATTGACTAACTTAGATAAGTGATTTAACCACACGGTGCCTCAGCTTCCCCATCTGTGAAATGGGAACAATAGTAGTGCCTTATAGGGTTGTTGCAAGGATTAAATAATACGTAGATAGAAACCCCTTAGAACAGTGCCTAGCACAAAGCGAGCGTCCCCATACAATCTTCTATTTATTCTCATACCCAAGACATCTAGTCTGCCCAGTTTGCAAGACAGGGTTATAATAAGCCTAGTTTTCTAAGTCATTTGACTCCAACGCCCAAGCTGGAGTGCAGCGGTGAGATCTCGGCTCACTGCAACCTCCAGCTCCCAAGCTCAAGTGATTCTCATGCCTCAGCCTCCTGAGTAGCTGGGATTATAAGCATGTGCCACCACACCTGGCTAATTTTTGTATTTTTAGTAGAGACAGTGTTTTACTGTGTTGGCCAGCCTGGTTTCGAACTCCTGACCTCAAGTGATCTGCTCACCTTGGCCTCCCAAAGTGCTGGAATTACAGGTGTGAGCCGCTACGCCCAGCGGATTTAAACCTTTTAAATTATGAAATGTGATATACATGCAGAACAGTACATAGACATAAATGTCCCACTGAACGAATATGACAAAGAGAATACACCTGTGTAACCACCCACCAGGTAAAAGAAAAATAATCTTACCAGCTTCCCCCAAGCCCCCACCTGCTTCCTCTCCAGCACAGCTTTCTCCTTTTGGTGAAGGAATCAGCTTAACTTTTACCTGACTTTGGCTTCCCTACCTAAGTATGCCTCCCTATACACAGTGGTTTCATTTTGTCTATTTTTGCACATGGTGTAATTAGAAGTATACAGGATGAACTCTTTCACTCCACTTTATGATTGGGAAATTTGAGTCAGGCATATAATTGGAACCCATTTTCCTTCTCATTGCCAAGGAGCACTCCATTATGTGAATACACCCCATTTATGTATCAATGGTGGTTTTTCTGTTTTTGTGTTTTGTTTCATTTTTGCAACAGTTTTGTCTTGTTGCCCAGGCTGGAGTGCAATGGCACGATCTCGGCTCACTGCAACCTCCACCTCCCAGATTCAAGTGAGCCTTCCGCCTGAGCCTCCTGAGTAGCTGGGATTACAGGCGTGCGCCACCATGCCCAGCTAATTTTGTATTTATAGTAGAGACAGGGTTTCTCCATGTTGGCCAGGCTGGTTTTGACCTCCTGACCTCAGGTGATCTGCCTGCCTCCTCTTCCCAAAGTGTTGAAATTACAGCATGAGCCACCATGCCTGGCCACCAATAGTTTATTTATCAATTTATTAGTTGGTTTATCTATGAAAACCAGTTGTCAATGGAAATTTGAGTTACTTCCTTTTTTTTTTTTTTTTTTTTGGCTTTTGCAAATAGTGCTGTGTTCAACATTCTAGTACTTATTTTGTTAAACATACATACACATTTCTGTTGGGTATAAGCCAAGAGTATAAGATGGCTGACGCCAGCCATGGTGGCTCATACCTATAATCCCAGCACTTTGGGAGGCCAAAGGGGATGGATCATCTGAGGTCAGGAGTTCGAGACCAGCCTGATCGACATGGAAAAACCCTGTCTCTACTAAACATACAAAATTATTGGAGCATGGTGGTGCACGCCTATAATCTCAGTCACTCGGGAGGCTGAGGCAGGAGAATCGCTTGAATCAGCAAGGCGGAGGTTGCAGTGAGCCGAGATTGTCCAAAAAAAAAAAAAAGGAAAAAAGGGCTGGGTCATAAGGTGTATATATCTTTATCTTTGGTAGATACAGCCAAAGAGGTTTCCAAAGTGATTATAATAATGTCTTCTCCTCCCACCAGCCATGTTAGAACATTTCCATTGTTCCACATCCCTGCCAACACTTGGCACCAATAAAGCATAGTCAGGTGCTTTATTTTTAGTCATTCTGGTGGGTGTGTAGTGGTAGCTCATTGTAGTTTTGATTTGCATTTCCCTGCTGAGTAATGAAACTGAACATCTCTTCATTTGCATATCAGCCTTTTGGATATCCTTTTAGTGATGTGCTTGTTCAAGTGTCTTGCCCGGTTTTCTATTGGGTTGTCCATTTTTATTGGTTTATTTTATTTATTTTATTTTATTAGAGCTAAGGTCTTGCTCTGTCACCTAGGCTGTAATGGAGTGGCAACATCAGAGCTCACTGCAGCCTCTACCTCCCTGGCTCAAGCAATCGTCCCACCTCTGCCTCCCAGTAGCTGGAACCACAGGCAGGTACTACCACCATGCCTGGCTAATTTTGTTTATTTATATCTCTATTTATTTATTTATTTAGACAGTCTCACTCTGTTGCCCAGGCTAGAGTGCAGTGGCACAATCTCTGCTCACTGCAACCTCTGCCTCCCAGGTTCCAACAATTCTCCTGCCTCAGCCTCCTGAGTAGTTGGGATTACAGATGCACACCACTATGCCCAGCTAATTTTTGTATTTTCA